AGAGAGGGAGCCACAGACTGAAACAGGCTCCAGGCTCTGAGCTGGCAGTCAGCACAGAGCCCGACGCGGGGCTCGAACCCACGAACCGCGAGATCATGACCTAAGCGAAAGTCGGACGCTTAACCGACTAAGCCACCCAGGCGCCCCTGGAACAAGTGATTCTGTAACCCCCACTTCAGCATACCCATACAGACAGGATGTTTAAATTTTTTTTTTAATGTTTTATTTATTTCTAGGAGAGAGAGAGAGAGACAGCGTGAGCAGGGGAGGGTCAGAGAGAGAGGGAGACACAGAATCTGAAACAGGCTCCAGGCTCTGAGCTGGCAGTCAGCACAGAGCCTGACGCGGGGCTCGAACCCACGAACCACGAGATCATGACCTAAGTGAAAGTCGGACGCTTAACCGACTAAGCCACACAGGCACCCCAGGATGTTTAAAACGTATATATATAGGTATATATATAAGTAAATGGACTACTTCCATTAATAAAGCTAAGAGAAATGTAAAAACAAACTGGCTCTGGTTACCTGAGATGGTAAGACAACATGCAGGAAACCAGCTCTATGAAGCTGTTTACAAGCCGACAGGACACAAGCCAGCTTGGCCCTATCCACAGAAGCGTCAGGGCTATATAGGTCAATGGCACAAAGCTCCTCGATGCTGTGACAGAAACAAAAAGAAACTAGGTGAGTGCTGATCTCACCAAATTAGCAGGATACATTGAAAAGTTGAGTGTGTTCTGTTACGCGTGTGTTAACTGACTACCTGACACTCAAATTCACTACATGACCTGGGAAAGGGGACACAGGCTCACACTGAACAAGGGGCCAAAGCACTAATCCAGTCTCGGAAATCAACATGGGGCTAAGCCACATCTGAGACTTGTGCAGGGAAGGCATTTGTTAAACAGATGATTTTCAAACAACTAATGAGATCCTCTGCATCAAACGCCCCACAGATGAGATCCTTTACTTCAGGAAATGGGACTATGGCAGCCACAGCTATGAATCCCACCATAACACTGGTCCCCAGCATGATCTGATGCCCACCTCTGTGCTGTTATTTCTTCCCTGAGGTGCATCTCCAGGATGTCTTTGAATGGGGACTTCTTTAGTGCTTTCATCAGGTTCACACAAACATCAGGAAGATGATTCATAACTAGGACATCACCAATGTTGAAACCTACGCTTGAGGGCTCACAGAGGGTTTTTACCAAGAGTTTCATAAGGTTTGTGTTATTATATAAATTCTTCTCAAGGAGCTGCAAAAGATGATTTGAATAAAGACACATCCATTAGTCAACATTTAGATTTTCACAATGTAAGGTCCGTGAAACTGGGAACTTTTGCCTGGCTAGGGCAGGGGTTGGCACACTTTCTCTGTAAAGGGTCAGACAACAGATGTTTTAGGATTTGTGGGCCCTATGGTCTCCACTGCAACTACTTAATTACCTGCCATTATAATGTGAAATCAGCCATGCACATACATGGACAAATGGACTTGAAGGTTCCAATAAAACCTTCCTTACAAAAGCAGGCAGTAGGTGGGATCTGACCTGTGGACCACAGTTCTATGGCTCCTGGTTTAGGGCAATGCTGTACCTACAGACAGCCTGGCATACAGCATGCAGTAAAGAGCCTGGTATACAGCGGGCACTCAGTATGTACTAACTGGAGGGACTGACTGAACTTTGTTTATATAATAAGCTTCACAGATACATTTACAAATATTTGCTAATGTACATTTCCTAAGGCAAATGTTTGATCGATCATAGCATAAAATGCAATATCCAAAAAAACATTTAGAAAAACTTTGTATTTTATTCACACAGTAAGAATCTCAAGTACACACAGAACTTTACTACTTGCAAGAACACAGAACTCCTACAGCAACGGAAAGTTCTATGGAAGCCAAAACTACTTTCAATGGGTACTGGAAAGTACTCTTTGAGTGCCAAGTACTGACCTCAGACTAACAGAGCAGCAGGAGTGACCCTACCTTCCAGCCTTCTGGGGAGATGCTGAGCAGCGTGGTGGTGAATTCCATAATCCGGACCACAATTGTACATTTGCTGTAATTGTATCTTTCTCCCTCTTGTGGGCTGGGTCTGTGACCTACTGCCCCAGCGCCAAAGCACTTTTCTGCTGCTGTAATATCATGCATAGCAATGCTTTCTAAAAAGAAAGTCACTGCTTTCCAAAGCGAAGACTGTGTTTCAGTACCTAGAAAAAAATTTCACTCAAATATTACCATATGCTTCCTTTTAATTTCACTAAGATTAATGTAAAATTCCTTCAAGTATAGGCATGGTATACTTTTATTCAAAATTCAAACTTAAAAAGCTTTAAAAAAAATCATGACAATTTCTATCAAATGTTTAAAAAGCTCATATGCTTTGATCCAGCATCAAAATTTTATCCTAATGAAATAATGGCAGAATTGTAAAGATGAGCTTGTAAGGATGTTCATTACAGCAGCTTTTAATAATGAAACAACAGAAACAACCTAAATATCCCTCAAAGGAGCAACGAAGAGACAAATTATGGCAGTGGTCTTTTTATGGAAACAACTGCATCAACTACCAAATGGACTTTGTCATAAAAGTCGCCAATCTGAAAGCACGAAGGTGCCGGCTCTCCTCTCCCATCTCCACTCCTTTCATGATCAGCCCTGTCTGCTTACAGGAAGAAAGACAAAACACCTTTCTCCTCTCTGCAGTCTCTCTGTACTTTTTATACCAGCGTGCAAGGACCTCCCAAACAAAGGGACAATTTTAAAAAGTGGGGTACGTGTTGAAAGAGAGTGTAAAGGACTGAAGAAGAGATCCTTTTATAAGTCTGAGGATTTCCAATTCTTCGTTTTCATAAAATTTTAGTTCATCAAATTGCCAACTTGACAGATCATTAAAAATAATTCTAATGGGGGCGCCTGGGTGGCTTAGTCGGTTAAGCGTCCGACTTTCGCTTAGGTCATGATCTCGCGGTTCGTGGGTTCGAGCCCCGCGTCTGGCTCTGTGCTGACTGCCAGCTCAGAGCCTGGAGCCTGTTTCAGTCTGTGACTCCCTCTCTCTCTGACCCTCCCCTGCTCACGCTGTCTCTCTCTCTCTCTCTCTCTCCTAGAAATAAATGAAACATAAAAAAAATTTTAAAAAAAAATAATTCTAATGACAGGTCACTGTATATTCAAAAGAAGTGAGAGAAAATCCATTAAGAATCTAATACCCTTAAATCCAGTAGACAATGGGCTGTATGACACATTCCAATCACAGGGATGTTAAATGTGGAAAAAAAGGTGGACATTTTGGCATTATTCAAATATGGCACTTATTTAGGTGAACAAGTTTTTTTTTTAGTAAAACCTATATAAAACAAAAACAAATCTAACCATATA